CCATCAACGTGGATGTGATAGTACCACCTATCTGAACCACGCCAAAAATCTCCATGTCTCCAATTGCATTTGCACACTCCAATCCCATCCCTTTACTTTCTTTCAAATTGCATGTTTTTCTTTCCGCTGCTTATATATTCTTGTCATGCTTGCTTGAATGTATTGTGAATGTTTAAAGTTGTGCTAAAACTCCACCTTAACTTGAAGAAACTAAAAATTGCTACGTTTCTTTGTTAAGAGTCTATTCACCCCCCCTTTAGACACCTCTTCTCGATCCTTTCAAGGTCTTTAATTTTGAATTTGGTTCATGATTTTGACCGAGTCAATAATTTCTCGAATCAACCGGCAACAATTAACCTATAAAAACACATGAGTTCCACATACCTTCTCATCATCAGAAAAAGAATCGTCGGCACGCAACACTTCAGTATTAATTAAGTACATGCGGTCATCGGCACACATATATATGAATTGATTGGTAGCACAAGTCTAGAAAGGGCCTACTAAAACACCGTGTTTTATTATAGAATAAAAAACATACACCATCATCTCCCTCACACTCCAAACTAAATAATTTGAAATCTCGACAGCATAAACAGCGCAACAAAGAGGCCAATATGAATAACTTTTCTCTACTACCTAAACAACACGTATGGTTTCCTCTCCCGTCTTACGTCGTCTAACCCCTTCGTTCGTCCTCCCTCCGTCGATTTTTCTCCCTTCCTGGTTTTTTGTATTTAAAATTGGTTTTCATCTGGACGGAAAAACCTAGGATCAATCTTTGGTAACACCAATCAATTCTCGTAATGTATGGTAATCAATCTCTTCTTCACAGTCAATTCACATTATAAAATCTCTTTCTTTCTTGCCTTACATAACAGGATCAATCTTGGTTTATTTCCTGCCTTTTTGGTCTATATTTTTTTCGCCCATAACATCTCTTCCTTTCTTTCCTGATTTCCTCTCATTTATCTCAAACTTTTTTATGCAAAAAACTTGCAGGTCATCTGAACATCTTTCTTGAAGGATCATGTCGATCTGAATGGTGTTGCGGCAGTCATATGCCGCGGTGGCACTGGAACTCAGTTTTCTCTCTCTCAAGCGCAAGAGTGACACCTCATATGTATGATGATTTATTCAACATCCAGTTTTGTAGTGTTAACATTGATTTTTTTAGTTTCAGTTTGATGCATTTCAGTTGCGTAAAGGCATAAAATCCTGTCGTTTTTGAATATGTTGCAGATGAAATACTAGCTTTAAATATATACGAAATTGTACATTATATTCACTAGCCCTCGTGATGTCAAGCTCAAGGCTATCTATAAGCACTGGAACCTCCTGCATGAAAAGTCATTAAATGAGGATGTGTTTATTCGTGGGAACGAACCTACTGAATACTGATGCCCTCCTCTTAGCCGGAAGTATGTTGAAAGCAGGTAAAGTGGCGTGGTATTGTTTCCTCTCTTTCTTATCTTGTTGCAAATACTTCTAGAGTCATTGATGGCTTGTCCACCTAGATGATTTTACACTCCCTTGCGAGGAGAATTTAGCTTAGATTTATGAATGTTCCTGCAAGTTTGAGACTTTAATTAATCCTACTAAGGAAGACAACATGAAAGTGTTAATGGCTCGCTTGTTCTTTGTAGAGGAACTCGGTTCTGATGATCGGTACCATTTGTAGGTAAATAACTTGCAACTATTACAAGACATCCGTCCTCCACTACTTTTTTTTATCATAGACATCTCTCTACTCACCTCAGTAGGAGGCAATATTCTTAATAGCAAAATGAATATATAACACCTATACTCGAAGCATGGGTGCATACATGTATGGTTCATGGCAGTGTGCTTAATACATTTTATAGTATATATGCACAGGAACAAATATGCTTGAATGATGCATGTTCCTGGGCTAGCAGGAGAAGGAGAAGAGTACCATCTTGCATGTTTTCTTAATCAAAATATTATTTTAGGTATACCTCATTATCCAGTTTAGGTTGTAAGATGGTCTTGACCCTCATCTTTTGTTGGGTTATACTAAGTTCACAGACAAAATCTGCTAATTTTAATTTTCGTTCATCATGTTTATGATTGCTATGTCCTTCTATATTGTCTTTGTAACTCGCAATGATTTGAATAATATTGTCTTTGTAAGGTGTTAGGGTAGGAGAGGGAATCATTAACAATGTGAGAGATTGACCTTCATGATCTTTGTACGGTGTGCGAGTTGAGAAGGATGTGCATGGTGGAAAAGATAAGAAAAGAATAAAACGAGTTAAAACAAAAGTCTAGCTTAAAACCACATATGTTAATGCACAATCAAAAAATAAATCTATTCATCAATTTCTCTATTATTGATGTAACCATCATCATATGTATGCCTCGTTGCAATGCACATGCATTGTTCTAGTTAAAGAAAATGTTTGCACTTCTCGTGAAAATGAATGACATTTTCCGATGGAAACGCTAAGAGCATCTCCAGCCGTTGGCCCCTCCAGGGCGCATAAAAATCGCCCCCTGGGGGCGAGCCGGCGATACAATCGGCGCTGGGGGCGATTTTGCGCCCAGTCGTCGCCCCCAGGCATCGAAATTGGCCCACTTTGCAGCCCCATTTCGACGAATAAAGGGCCCATATAGGCGAGAATATGCCCATATTCGACGTATTTGCCGTGTCTCGGCGTTCAATTATCAACACAATTATTTTTTATCACATATTTCATCACAGAAAAATCAAATATTTCAACAAAATAGTACATCAACAAATAGTTCAATACAAATTATATAGTTCAACAAATAAAAACTCGTATTTCATCACACGACGTCCCCTTTGAGCCTCCATAGGTGCTCAATCAGATCTTTCTGCAGTTGATGATGCACCTGTGGGTCTCGGATCTCCTGACGCATACTGAGATAGGCAGTCCAAGTTGCCGGTAGCTGGTGATCAACTTCGGCTAGAGGACCCTGCCTGTAGTATGGTTCAGTGTCAAACACTGAGTCTTCTTACTCGCTCTCGATGATCATGTTGTGCAAGATGACACAACAAGTCATAATCTCCCGCATTTGATCTTTGGACCACGTCTGGAACACTGGATCTATGGACTCGGCCATGCGCCCATAGTCGTCGAGTGAATCACCGGGAGCTCCATATGCAAGCATCCTCATCGCTGTCATGCACTTCTGGAAGGAGGTGAATCCAAGAGCGCCGGTGCAATCCATCTTGCACTTGAAGTAGTTGTCGAACTTCCGCATGGAATTCACAATCCCGAGGAAGAGCTTTCGGCTCATCAGATAACGGCGCCGAAATGTTTTCTCGTCGTGAAGTGGAGCATCGGTGAAGTAGTCAGAGTAGAGCATGCAGTAGCCTTCGAGACGATGTCGGTTCTTTGCTTTCACTCGACCAGGCGCCGAGCCACCTCGCCGCGGCTTTTCATTGCTCGCCAGCAGCTGGGCGAGGGCGGCGAGCACCATGAGATGCTCTTCTTCCTGGACGTCGGCCTCGGCTTCCTCCTCCAGCAGCGCGGCGAGCGCTTCCTCGTCATCCGAGTCCATCGCCGAGGCAGGCAAATCGCCGAACACCTTGCGCCCGGTGGGTGTGTACTCGCTGCTAAACTGCTCCTCCACGACCGGAAACGGCGGTCGAAAACGCCCAGCTGCTGTTGGAGGGGTGCCGCGGCGAAACGCTGCTATTTTTTCGGCAGGGAATGGCTATCTAGCGGTGAAGGGCGGCAGGCGGCGCCGAGATATAGCTAGTGGTGGCCGAGGGCGCGGAGGGTGGGAGGCGAGTCGAGGAAGAAAACCTTGACTTTTTCCCTAACGGTGTGGGCCAACCACACTTTTTTCCTTGCGCCGGAGCCCCCAACTACTTCCCAGTACGCCGGGTTCGGCCTGTGACCGCCGGACGGAAAAAAAGGGTTGAACCGACGATTTTCGGCGTTCTGAGGGCATGACTGGGGCGTTTTTTTGCGCCAGTGCCGAAAAAGTGGACCGGAGGGGCACGTTGGAGGCGCGGCTGCAAAGCATCTCTTCCCTTGTGGGCTTGCCCCAGATAACCTCCTTTTCGCCGCGCCGCCCGGCTCACCCGTTCCGAATCCAGCAGAAGCGCAGAACCCCAGCGCGGCCGAGAGCCGGGCAGTCCTCCGCTGCGCCACTTCGAAGGCTTCCATCTCCGTCTGCGTCCGGGGTGGGGTGTGCAGGAGTAGATAGATTGATCGAGGCTCATCTCCTCTCTCGGTACGGAAATTCCCGACCTACCTCGCTTTCTTCGAATATTTTTCCGAAACCTGCTTCGTCCCCTCTCCGAATCTTCGCCCGATACTCCAACGCATCGTGTTAGTTTTGCGTTCGATTTGACTGGTCCAGAATGGCAGATTGTTTTCCCAGAATTATTTGGGGTTTAGGTTTATCTGAACCCTAACGCAGTCCCACCCCTGCTCGGGCTGATTTCACCCTTGTGTACACCGTTCTGGTCTTCGATTTCTGTGTGCAGTCGAATCCAGATCCGGAAGTTTCCGCGATCTCTCACCCGTCTAGTCTGTCGTTCCACTGGATGTTCACCCTAGTCGCGGATTTCCTGGTATGAACATTGTTCCTGTTCTTTCTTCAGCACGACCAAGGCCCATCTCCTGTAGGACAGTGACCAATGCGCGCAAGAAGCCATTGAAATGTAAAATGGACAACCGTGTAATTGATCCAGTTTGAAACAAGTCCTTTTGTCGATTACGGACGGATTATGACAGCATACAGTTGTGAATACTGCTGCTGCAGTGAATTTTAGTAGCCATCATGGTGCTGTCATGTGGTGTAGCTACCGATTTAGTTAGTTAGCAAAGTATTGTTGTTTCTCATTCATTGCATCAATGCATACGGCCGATGCTTGGTTCATGTGCTTGCTTGGTATGATGATAGTGACAAGGAGATGCGTGGACAGTTCTTTTGTTCTCTTCTTATTGGTTGATATTGTTAAATTGAGTTGATAATTCTGAAGTTAACATTTTGCAGACATGGACATGGATGCGTCATTTCGTTCAGCAATCGTCAATGGAGAGACTCTCAAGATGTTTGTTGGGCAAAGAGTGCGTACAGTACTTAAGGTCCAACACACTCAAGGTGGAGTTCTTGTTGCGCAGTCGACTGATGGACATCAGTTGACCATCAGAGGTGCCTCGGAAGGCCGTGAATCACATTATCTAGAGGTTATTGGGATTGCTGACAACGACCAGTCCATCAGTGCTGAAAGTTGCAAAGATTTTGATGACAACTTTGGTGAGATTTGATGCACCTATATTGGTTTTATTTGCCTCTTCAAGGTTGTATTATACTTGCTGCTGCGGGGTTCAACATTGCAGTTTGTTATGTTTTACATAATTCCATAGACATCAGAGGAGCTTTGCCTTTAAAAAAAAATTCCATTACAACCTTCAATCATTTACGAGCAGCTGAACTTTTTCTTTTCTT